GATAGTGAACATGACTGTGTGATAGTGGACATGACTGTGTGATAGTGGACATGACTGTGTGATAGTGAACATAGCTGTGTCATAGTGAACATGACTGTGTGATAGTGAACATGACTGTGTGTTAGTGCAAAGCAGTGAAAAGAAAAGGGACAGTCTCACAAAATTAGGCACATCTGGTCACCCTGAACACATCTGTGTGTTAGTGAACAGGTTTGTGTGTTAGCATGTCAGAAATGGCTCCAAAAAGCATGCATAGGTTTGTGCAGTGCACAGTTCAACTCGTGGACATTATTTAAAGCTGAAAACTTTGTGTTCTTTTCCAGAAAGTTTATATTTTTTAACCTCTAGCAGTTTGTTTGGTTCTTGTCTCATAACGGATGAAAAAAAGTCACATTCTGTTTTATAAACATGTCTTTGGTTTAAGTGCAGAGTTTTGATAAAGTAGATGTTTAACAAGCGTCTTGTATGTTGTCTTCTGGCAACACTGTGAGGTAAATGTTTTGCCTAGAATTATACAGTAGTTTCCTTTTCTGAAACGGATCTGAAGAGCTGTGTAGAAAATCCCCAGTTGTTGTATGAGGCAAAACATCTGATGATTCAGACTGACAAAGTGGAAAAACTTTTTTTTCCTCCGTCTGTTCTACAAGTTTTAGCTTTGTGTTTTTTAGTTTTTAAAAAAAGCTTTAATTGTTTCAAACAGGAACGGTACATAAACAATGTTCAAAAGGTTGTTTTTTTAAAGTCAAAGGCTAATTTACAGACCTTGTCCATTGTTGGGCTTGTGGACTTGAGTTTATCAAACATATTTTATAAGCAATTAATTTATTTTGAACTGTTTAGGCCTATTTTTAATTCCAGAATGCAATTTTTTTTAGCTTTTACTAGGCACATGTCCACAGGCCTCATTATATTTACAGCACAAAGTAAGCAGCTAACTGGTAAATAATGTGAAACCTTTAGAGACAGACTATTGATGCTAAATGGTGCTTAAAAAAAGCCAATATTAAATCCTGCTCTGCACTTCCATTTGTTTTTATTCTTCCAATTGTACTGAATCATTTGGAGGATGTTTTTACACAAGAGATTATCAACTGGACAAAAAGACGAATCAAATATTTGTCTTAGATCTTTTCTAATTTGATCAAAATCTCCCTGTGTTTTTGCACAGCAACCCTGAAACATTTCTACTCTGAGCATGTGATGCAATCTTTTCATGATGTGAAAACACAACAGCTGTCACCATTTAACTCCTGGGAAACTTTATGCTGCACTAAAAATATGTTGAGTTTATAAAGTTTTTTTGAATGCAAAACAGTATCAAACACTTCTAACTAGTAGCCATTATTATGGTAATCTTTTTAACAAAAAGTAATTACTGTCGGTAAGTGAATGTTTAAACCCTGCAGAGGCTGAAAGTTTCCCCTCAGTGATGACCAGCGTTCCCCCTCGTTATAAATGCTGCAGTACTTTTGTCTCAGCAAAACATAAAAGCTATTCAACCACAGAGGTTACGTAACTGCTTGTATTGGTATGTTTTCTTCTCTTAGCAACAAGCAGGGATCATTCATCTAAGAGTGGCAACAAAGTGAGTTAAAGCGGACTAAATGAACTTAAATCCAACGCACACGATGGAACATTGGGTTACTTTTATAGAGAGGATATTGTTTGACAAAGAGACGAGAGCAAAAACAAAATAGTTAAAATGTGTAAAATCAGTTTGCCGAAGTTTTTATAAAGCTCTGATCACACACTGAGCTGCACTGTGGGTTTGCAGCACTAAAATTATAGTTGCTCAAAAATTATTCAGTAAAATGTCGTTTTAAAGGGTTCAACTAATCCCTTTTTTTTTTTATATCGACATCGTACTTGATTTGTCATACTCTGTAAATAAGATATATTACGTAAAATTATTTTATTTGATCAAAAGTAAATGGAAATTTCTGCAAAATGCTGCGTGAGACCTAGTGCTGGGTGCAGAAGTTTTATTGAAGAACCTGAAACTGAGTTGTTAAAGGTAAAACAAGCAGAACATAAATTTAATTGGTAAAACGGTATCTAAAATGTAAAATTAGCAAAACCATACCTAAAAGCTAAAAGTAGCAAAACAGTAGATAAAAGCTAGCTTAGCAAGACAGTAGCTAAAAGCTAAAAAATCATGACTAAAGAGCTGAAGTAGATTTCAAAGAACAATGTTTTTGAAGGAATTGAGATCTCAGTGTATTTCAAGGTTCTTTGTTGTCATTCGCATCGCATGTGGTACATGTGGTGGAACAAAATTGTGTACACAGGATCCCAGTTCCATCCAATAAAAGTATAAATTGTAAAAGAAAAACGGTAATAAGATTTGAACACTGATGGATCATCATGGAACATTTTATGGGGGGGATTTATTTGTTGGGTGGCACTGTGGTGCAGTTGGTAGAGCTGTTACCTCTCAGCAAGATGGCCGTCGGATCAAATCCCAGCCTGGGGGTCTTTCTGAGTGGAGTTTGCATGTTCTCTCCGTGCATGCGTGGGTTTTCTCCGGGTGCTCCGGTTTCCTCCCACAGACCAAAAACATGCATGTTAGGCTGATTGGTAACTCTAAATTGTCCCTAGGTGTGAGTGAGAGAGTGAATGGTTGTTTGTCTCTATGGCCCTGTGATGGACTAGAGACCTGTCCAGGGTGTCCCCCTCCTCTCACACAGTGACTGCTGGATATTGGCACCAGTGACCCCCGTCACCCAAAAAGGAGGAAGTGATGATGGATGGATTTATTTGTTTATAAAGTTAAATAATTCAAAAAGTCTAAAAACACAGTGTTACTGATCGAGCCAAATGTTTTGATACACAAATGGGTAAAAATAAAAAAAAGCACTAGGAAAGCAGTGAAAATGCCGACTCTGCATTAAACAATGAACAATCTGTCTTATTGTTCTCAGGTCCTCCTTTGATTATTGATGCTCCGTCCACTTCTCCTCCCATCCCCGATGACGAACCCAGTCATGTCTCCCCCACCTCCCCCTCTGCTCCCGAAGACAAATCCTCCTCCTCATCCCCCACAAACTCCCCACCCAAACCATCGGACCCCACTGAAGGCAGCCTGGACCCCCCAGCCCAACCAGAGTCAAGTCCAACCGTACTTACCTCTTACCACACCCCCACCACCTCCCAACCTGAGCCAGAACCCACCACCCCACCTGTTAGAAAAGATATCCCGCCTCCCACCAGGACTCCCAAAGTCCCGGCCAACCAGCCCCCCAACATCTGTGATGGAGAATTTGACACGGTGACCATGTTGAGGGGGGAGATGTTTGTTTTCAAGGTGAGGAAATGTCACAACTCTTACACAGGAACGACTATTTAAAAGCCTCCAAAGGACCGGGCTGTTGTTTAGCGTTACATACGAGTGTCTTTTTCAGGGACGCTGGTTTTGGCGGGTTCGAAGGAACAGAGTCCTGGACAACTACCCCATGCCGATATCGGTCTTCTGGACTGGTCTCCCAAGTGACATTGATGCAGCCTACGAACGCCATGATGGCAAATTTGTCTTCTTTAAAGGTATGACATGTTGTTTATTACCGCTACAACCAATATAAGCCCATCACATCTTTTAAATCAAGTTTAGCCCCTTGATAAAGGAAGCGTGCCTGGATCGTTTGCTCTTCCTGCTTCTCTTTCACTGGGGCCAGAGTGGAAACATTTGCGTTTTGATTTGAGCTTGTTGGCTGAAAGGAAACGGTGCAAACGCATCGTTTTTTCCCCCCACACAGCTCGATTTATGAGGAGCTGAGCGCACATGCACAGAAATGTTTATACCATTTAAAACGTCATGAAAAAGAAAGTTCTCCCTTCAGCCAGATGATTCATTGTTTAAACATTCTGACAATCCGGCTGCAGATCGAGGGACAGTTTTGTGATAGTGTGTCTTTGCATCATTCAGTTTGTGTGAGCGTCCTGAACGAGTCCTCTGCAGCGTGGCAGCTGTTCTGGGCCCAGATTGCTCCAGCTGAGCCCCAGAAGGCCTCGACAGAAAGTTGGCTGCCTTCTTTCCTTACGCTGCGCTGCTCCAAAACGCAAACAGCTGTGGTGCTTCTCTTTTATGCACTATGACGATTTGTCATGCATTTTTGTAAGGTTTATGAGACGTTTGATCTCCAATTTATACTCATTAAGTTGTGCGTTGTGGTGAATTCTGTTTCGGTTGATTCATACGGAGTCGTTTTTTTGCATCTTTTGTGCATCAAAGCTATCCAAATAAAAAGGCTTATCGGCCTATGTTTTCATTTTTGGCTCCAGTGTTTCCTGATAGTTAATCCACTCTTCCATCTTTGAGTGAAACACGCCCTACTGGCTGCAGCACATCTAAAACCAGGCCAAAGCCTGACTGATCCAGCCCATAAACTGAACATGAGACGGGTAGATGTTGCTATCATAACTTAACCTGTGGGTTTGGTTGAGCTTTTGCAGTCACAAGTGATTTACAGCTGTGAGAGAGAAAAATCAAGTGTATGAAAGAAGGATCACTCCATTCATGTCTGAGTCAGGTAGCCATGATGAAGGGGTTGTTCTGACTTGTCGTTACAAATCCGTTTTTGGGGATTTAACTTCAAGGGGTCAGCTCTGACACCTCAATTCACATTTTATGGCAGTTGTGTATCCCAATGCATTCTAGCTCTTTCTCTTTGCTTATTGGTCTAACAGACACCATAAAAGAGAAATAAATGCATATAGACAGTGATTAGTGACTTCTCAGAGGTCTGAGTCAGCAAAGATGGACGAGTGTAACCTGTAAAACTCCACAGTGCGCCGACGGCCATCAGCTTGACTGTGAATTGAACATGAACTCTGTTTATTTAGGTCAGTTGTTGTTGTCCTTTGATTGACAAAGCACATTACACTATACAGTGACCACAGTGTGTCCCAAAACAATCAGAGCAAACATTAAACCAAAAAGAACCTCACTCTTCCAGCGCTCTGCCTGTAATTCACTTTTTATTAAAATCTCAACAAAAACGACTTCTGTATGAATAAATATTCTGATAAACTGTTCATTAACACTTTTTGACCTTAAAAACAAAACAAACTTAAGTCAAATCTTCAGAGTTCTTCCAAAGATGGCTGTTTATTTAACTTTAATCAGCCAGCAGTTGAGTAAATGTTTGTTTGTTTGTTTGTTTATCTTGAGACATTCAGGCTGCTGATGTGAGATCATGTTAGTCACATTAGACGTCCTGCAGCTTGGCTCTGTGTGCACTGGACAAGTCTGAAAAACCTTCAAGTGCCATGAAGCTGATGTTTTCCAGGCTCCATAAGGTTCAAATTAGTCTAATAAATTCTAAATAAATAAATAATGTTCTCGGGGTGATTATAGTGTCATTAGCAGGATTCAGGCTTACAGGTCAGTAAGAAATGAAGTATTTTTGTCTAGTTTTTGCTCGTCTAAATGTGGTCACTTTTGACTCAAAAAGATTTTCTCCTTTGGCAGCAGCTGAATAGGATACGACTCGTGTTTGTTCGGTAACTCGGCTACAGCTCAAGGTGGACCCGACCATAATAAGCTACACTTTTGGGGAGGGTTATCTGTGGATTCCTTGTTTGCATCACAGTTGAAGAGGTGTTTGTTTGTGTTGTTGCTGCTGCTGCAAATTCTGCTCTACATTCATTTGTCCAAATGTCTTGTAGTTGCAGTACGCTGGGCTTGTTTGTAGGTTTATTAGTACATTTATGACATTGAGGTTTATATTGTAATGACTCGTCAGGATGGAGGTTTTTATGTGAAGCCGCAGTAGAACGCTGAGTCACTTCTTCAGCCTGTTAACTCCTCTTTTATGTCAAACGGGGAAATTTGAGCCACATTTGATCTGTTGATCTTATGAAGAGCTGTTATGGAAATTTACTTTAGCCTTTCAGAACTGGAAACGTCGCCTGAACTGGCCTTTTCCATCTTTTTGAACACTAAAAATTAATTTCAGTATTTGAACAGCTACACAAGAACAGCTGGTTATTGTTTATTAGTTTCGAAGAGTCCACGTTTTTATTAACTTTAACTCATCATAGTCCCTAAAATGGCTGATTTTTGAACCTGACATGAGCTGTTTCTACTTTTACAAATGTCCATGCCTGATGAAACACTGATGGTGCATACTGTTTCCTTCATTGTTGGCTAACCTGAGAAGGCATTCAGAATTTACAGAGGATACATGAAGTTTTCCTTTGAAATGGTTTATGATTCTGTGATGGAAAATATTATTTATTGATCTGCTTCCTGATATGTTATAATATTGTATGTATTATACAATATTATTTTGCTCTACACTTCATCTTTCCTTAATTGACTCAAATAAGGAAGTTTGGTATCACTGTAGAATGAGGGTGCCAGTGGACAGCTGGGTAGAGACGTTTATCACCTCACCCCTGCAAGAAACCTTGAAAACCTCCTTTTCTCCCTGGACTCAGGCAGGTTCAGTTGGTTCTGATAATATGAAGGAGGGGGAGGCCCCTGACGAGTTTTCTACAAAACTAACTTTTTCATTTCAGGAAGTCGGAACGAGTCAGAACTCCGACAGGAAATGCATTAATAAGCTCTGTACTTGTGATGCATCGACTCTCTGTGGGTCTGGCTGTTCTCCAAAGCTTTGTAATAAATTTGAATGTCTTCACCTGATCGTCTGTAAATCAGTTGGTTTTTTTCTACGACTGATTCCTCTTTTTATTTTCCTCTGAGACTGGGACATAGGAACATTTGAAATGTTCCTAGAATATTTTCTCTTTGAAAATAAAAGAAATTCTCTGAACTCATTTTGTATAGGGCTCAGATTATCATGGTGTGTTCAAATATTTGTAAACTTTCTTGACTATAAATAATTGTTGGTTAGATGAAGAATTCCTCTTCAGTTTTATGGTTTTTGGAAATATCCCTCCCATTTATGGTAAGAAACTTTTTCCTGGGGGTTGCCCAAATATTTGTATCCCACTGCAGATGGACAACAACCAGCAGACTCTGATAGTCGATTTTCCATCCGTCCGTCCATCCATCCATCCATCCATTATCTCCTGCTTGTTCCAAAGTCAAGTCGTAGAAGCAGCAGCTTGAGCAGGGAGGCCCAGACATCTCTTTCCACAGCCACCTCGTCCAGCTTTTCTGGGAGGACCCCAAGGTGTTCCCAGGTCAACCGAGAGACATAGTCTCTCCAGTGTGTCCTGGGTCTTCCCCGGAGCCTCCTCCCAGTTGGACATACCCGAAGCACCTAACTAGGGAGACGCCCAGGGAGCATCCTTACCAGATGCCCGAACCACCTCAACTGGCTCCTCTCGATGTGGAGGAGTAGCGATTCTACTCTGGGTCTCTCCTGGATAACTGAACTTCTCAACCAATCTCTAAGGGAGAGTCCAGCTACCCTGCGGAGGAATCTCGTTTCAACCGCCTGTATCCATGCTCTCATTCTTTCGGTCACTACCCAGAGCTCATGACCATAGGTGAGAGTAGGAACATAGACTGACCAGTAAACAGAGAGCTTTTACAGCTCAGCTCCCTCTTCACCACAATGGACCGGTACAGAGTCTGCAATACTGCAGATGCTGCACCAATCCATCTGTCAATCTCACGCGCCATTCTTCCCTCACTCGTGAACAAAACCCCGAGATACTTGAACTCCTCCACTTGAGGCAGAACCTCACCCTCGACCTGAAGAGAGCAATCCACCCATTTGGACCATGGCCTCATATTTGGAGGTGCTGATTCTCATCCCAGCCGCTTCACACTCAGCTGTGACCCGCTCCAGTGAGAGCTGAAGATCACGGCACAATGACATCAACAAGATCACATCAGCTGCAAGTCGATTTTGCTGCAATAAATGTGGAAAATAGCTTAAAATGTCTCCAAAGGTAAATTTGGCTTTAACAGAAGGAGATCTTGGAAAAACTATGTTGTGCAGACCTTTAACCATATTTCCTTAAGAGTGACTTATTCTCATGCCAAGTACTGAATAACCTGACTTTCTCTTTCTTTCTTTAATTTCATTTGTCTCTTTTTTCTGCTTTTCTTCTTCATTAATTCATCTTATCTTGTATTCTTGCTCTTATTGTCCTAATGTCTTCTTAAATAAATTAATGTCTCCCTGTTTTTGCAGATGACAGATACTGGTTGTTCAGGGAGGCGGATGTGCTGCCGGGGTACCCACAGCCCCTGTATCAGTACGGACGAGGGATTCCTACTCACAAAATTGATACAGCTATTTGGTGGGAGCCCAATGGACACACATATTTCTTCACAGGAGACAGGTATGAGGCATTAGATACAAAATGGGAAGTAGGAGTGAAATGTTGGACAAAATTTCAGTGAGATTTGTTTTTAAAGGTTAGCTAAAGTTCAAAAAGCGTTCAATACAAAAACAACTGGACTTTATTTGTAACAGAAGACGTTTCGCTCCTCATCCGAGGAGCTTTCTCAATTCAAAGAGCAGAGAGTGAGAGATACAGGTTATAAGGCTGAGTGAGATAAGACACACACACACACATGTAGATTGGCAGTCCTCAGATTTCCACTTTCAAAAACATATAATGCAACTTTAAAACAGATTCCCAGCCGGTTTTCACACCTGATGGGAACAGAGGGGCCTCGTCTGTGAATTAGAGGAACAAAGACCTACTGTTTAGGTGTTTAGGTGTGAACTGCCAATCTACATATGTGTGTGTGTGTCTTATCTCACTCAGCCTTATAACCTGTATCTCTCACTCTCTGCTCTTTGAATTGAGAAAGCTCCTCGGATGAGGAGCGAAACGTCTTCTGTTACAAATAAAGTCCAGTTGTTTTTGTATTGAACGCTTTTTGAATTCATCATGTCCTGGATGACTGAGAATCTTCACCAGCATGTTAGCTAAAGTTCTTTTCACTGAATAAATCTGTTTGTGTGCAGGTACTGGCGGTACAATGAGGACACCCGGACCACAGACCGTGACTTTCCCAAACCAATCAGCCGATGGGGCAAAATTCCTCCTTCCCCTAAAGGAGCCTTCCTCAGTGATGATGGATGTAAGTAAACCCTCAAGGCTTTGTTTTAGGAAAAGCTTGTGTTTATGAGAATATGTAGCTGAAATCTATACATGAAGTGTTGGAAGCAGGAAAATGAAAGCAGGGGCAGATGGGAGATGGTGGGTGGGACGGAATGGAAAGTGAAATACACTGGAGACTGGTTAGGCTGGAGCCGACAGAGCAGAGAGAAGGATGAGGGGATGACGAGGAGAGGATAAAGAGGAATGAGAGCTCCGGTTTGAATGTCGACCTATTCTTCCTTTGGAAATTAGATTTGTGGCTAAGCAGCTCGAAACCCTTCGGTCAAACCTCATCTCCGCCCAAACGCCCCGAACGTTTCTGCAGGCAGCCAGGCCTTCAACCCAGAGCCAAACGCACAGGCGGGAATCTAATTCTGGAAAACTGTGTGGTTCTTCACACCATTCTCTCAATTAGAGCAATAAATCAGTACATCTCATAGATTTATTGCTTTATTTGACATTTTTGTAGTTTCATTTCGACAATTTATAATGCAGAGCCTTATGTGGGAATATTGTCTCCATGTTGAGGAGAGTGAGAAAGATTAACTGCTCCCTAAAGAAACATTCCTGAGTCTGCTCGTTGTTTGCACAATAACTGAATATAGTTTTATGCCGCAAGACTCGTCTTAAAGTAAATGAGGAAGTTTTAAATTAAAAAGATTCTGCATTCTTGTAAAGTCAAATCAGTTGAACTTTGCTTGGCAAGGAAAAGTTGCTTAAAGAAGTTTTTTTAACGGGGTCATGATTGGGTATCTTACCTGCAGCAGAAAATCTAACAATCTACTTTGAAACATTGGAAGAGAGGTTTCATGGGGATGTCAAGCCTAATCATGAGGGAATTTCCACCGTCTTAATCAATTCAAAACTTTCCTAAGTGCGTGGTGAAGGCTGCATAAAATATTTTTATACCTCACCACGGTGACATTTTTCACGAAGTTGCTATATTTTTAACTGAACGTTAGCATGAACCTTCTGTTTGTTTCTTAAACGAACAGTTCTTTGTTTATAAAATAGACTCATATGAATGTCCTCTTATCTCCTCAGATAAAGGCATGTTGTCCTCACTTACAATCTTTCTACGTCACTGTTTATTTACATTATTTTGGGATTAGACTGATGGGAGTGATAGACATGGAGGTTTTACTGCAGAATGTATTCTGCAGTTACAACACATTTAGCATAGTTTAGCAGATGTTTGGTAGAGAAAAGAATGTCAAAGAAAACAAATGTCTTGTGCTAAAGTGACAATGTGTAAAAGTATCTAATGTAGGCTTGGTAAATCTAAATTTTGAGTTGTTTTAGAATATGTAGATTGTGAAAATTCACTCCTAAATGTGTTTTACTCTGAGTAGCAGTAATCTTGAAGAATTCCTCCCTAATTCTTCAAAATGGTATCACTCTGACTGTTGTCTACTGCAGGTGAGATACTGATTAGCCATAACTACACCACACTAACCCTTTTCGGTAAACTAAACTATTTCCTTAAAACCTTTTCTGTGATTTTGTGTCGTCTGGCATGGAAGACTTGTGTCATGTTAATTTTATCACCTGCACTTGTCTGAGACAGTCTTAGAAGATACTAAACTGAAATAAGGAAAATGTTTTAAAGCTTCTTTTTGTGGGTTTCAGTTGTAAAATTGATCCATTATAAAGCATGACGTCCTCTCTAGTGCTATACATCAGCTGATTATCTTGTGCATCTTTTTCCTTGCAGCTTACACTTATTTCTACAAAGGTACCAATTATTGGAGGTTTGACAACCACAGATCAGAAGCAGACAAAGGCTATCCCCGCTCCATCCTGAAGGATTTCATGGGCTGTGCGTGGGTGCCCGACCCAAAGCCGGACCCAGACCCGGAGCAAAAGCCGGAAGAGAAACCAGTCAAGCCTTCAGACAGAGGCCAAGATGAGCATAAAGAGCCAGACAAGGACCAGGACAAAGACAAAGACAGTAAGCCTGACATCACAGAGGAGGAAGAGGTGAATGTGGTTGTGACTGTAGCTGACAGTGAATCAAAGGTCACGACTCTGATTATGGTGATCGTACCTCTGGTGCTCATCTTGTGCATCCTCGTCCTGATCTACGCAATCCTCCGGACTCTGCAGAACAAAGAGACACCGAGGGCCTTGATTCACTGCAAGCGCTCGCTGCAGGAGTGGGTGTGATGAGATAAATAAAGAACCGCACAGGTATTCATCATTTTTTGTGGTGAGGTGCTGTTAGAGTCGTGTGTGTGTGTGGGGGTGGAGGTTCATAAAGCTGACGGCTTACCTCAGCTCTTTGGCCCCTGATACTCGTGGTTTTTTTTATTGCTCAAGTGTTGAGGCCAGTCGCTGCCTGTGGAGCGGCAGTTTCCTTCATTCTGGCCTTGAATGTAGCTCTGCCAGGATCTTTTATCTGTGCCTTTCTAATGTCTGGAATAGTGCCTGTGTTTAATAAAAATGTCCATTAGAGCCCATTTTAGCCACTTCATGAGTGTACTAAAATACTCTACAACTGAAGCAACTGTTGATTTTCTATTGATTTTATTTGAGTGATTTAAATGCAGACATAGTCAGTAAAGCACATACGCTACACAGAAAAACTCAAGTTTTTCATATGTTGACTGAAGTGCCTAAACTAATCACGGTGTGTTTTTATTTTCTGTGTAGAACGTTTGCACTTTTCTTCTTCGTTTTGCTCGACTGCAGTTGTGTGCGTTTTGCAAAGTGAAGCTAGCACAGGAGTGTTGGACAGCTGCATGTCCATGACCTATTTCCCACTGAGCCCCTTGTGTCCCCCTCTCCTCCTCCGGCTCCGTGGTCCAAGCTCAATGTCAGTGTTAAAGGCGTAGCGTTCCTCGAAGGAGTATTGTTAAAATCTGTTCACTAACCCGTGATATTTTGCAAACAGTACAGACAAAGGAACCAGCGCCCATCATCACTCCACCTTAGCCTTCGCCCCTCTCTGTGCTCATTTATTCGCACATGCCCACATCTGCAGACGCACGAACCACTTGTTAAATCACACAGATTAGTTTTTTTGTGCACAGACACACAGGCTCCAGTCGCCCCTCCTCCCTTCACAGCCATGCTCACTGCTTGGCCTGCAACGCTAAAAACATGATCCCAGAGGAGCCGTATTGATGTACGACTGGTGCCAGTGCTGGGAATGATTTGCTTTTTATGAGAGGAATGTTGTGGCGCTTTTAAACGTCTACAATGTTGTGAAAAACTAAACAGAACAAGAAGTAGCGTCTTTATTTTTACTTCCTCTCATTTATTCATCTGAAGGTAAATCGATCTGGAGCTAATCGTAAATAAAAGGGAGAAGTTTGCAGCAGAACGAGTCGAGGTCTGGTGTCGATTCAACCCACATGTTGCTGATTTAGTCGTGTCAGGCATGAGAGGAGGAGGAGGAGGAGGGGGATTTGAGGGAAAATGTTAAACTTTGTAAGAATGACGAGAAGGAGGTTCAGATTGAGGAGGGGAGAAGCAGCTTTAGTTTTCCATTATTTTGTGGAAAAGGAGGGGAAATGAAGGAAGGATGGAAGGATTTTGAGGAGGGGCAATGCTGGCGTTGCACTTCCTGGCCTAGATCGAGCCACTGACTCCTCTTCTGTTTTGTTCATGAGCTGAAGGTGATCTCTGCATCTCTTGCTTCCATTTAGTTTGTTTTTTTTAAACCGTTTTTTTCCCCTCTAGTTTTTTTTTTATTTCTTTGCCTTTGTGCACTTCAGCGTCCCCACATGTTCATTTTGTCCTCACTCTGGTGGAAAATTCAAGCATTTAACAGATCATAAATGCACAGAAACATCTGCCGGATGTGATTTGATCTTTTCTCCTTGTATGTTTCTCTGTGGGACATTCCACTCTGGGAGTTTTTTCTAATTCCTTTTAAAACATGTTACATTTGTTAGTCGTGTTTTTTCCATCTGTCTCATTAGTTTTATTAGAGAGGAGTTTTTTAAAACCAGTTTTGTGCCTTTCTGGATCCATTTAATTTGTGATTTTTGTACATTGACTTTCTTCGGGTTTTTTGTAAAAACAGTAGATTATTTTAATGTCAGTGCATGCAGGACATGTTGTGTAAAACCTGCACACTCTTGTGTGGAGGATTTTAAAAGTTTCACAATAAAACTCACAGCTAAAAAAGCAGCCATTGGTTTTATACATTTATTGTTTGTGTGTGTGTGTGTGTTTGTGTGTGTGTCCTTGTTTATGCTACTTTGTGAGGCCCATTTTTCCAACTTATACTGCATTGTGAGGACCAACTGCTCCTTATGGGGCCCAAAGCCCGGGCCCCATAAGAAGAAGTCCCGTTGGTGGGTTAGGGGCTAGGTTTAGGACTAAGGTGTGAATTGAGGATGTGTTAGGTTTAGGGTTAGGTATGTATTGGTAATGGTTAGGTTATGGATAAAGGTCATGGTTAGGCTATAGAAATGAATGAAAAATGAATGGAAGTCAATGCAAAGGCCCCATAAAGATAGCAAAACAAACCTGTGTGTGTGTGTGTGTGCCAGTTTAAATTTTGATTCTACTTTTGACCATAAGAGGGAGATGTTGCTTCAGAAATATTTAAACATCAAACAAATTTAACTGAATAAAAAATAAAGTAATGTAAAACTAAACAAAACAAAAAATCACAAGGAAGTTTGACTTCATTTTCTGTGAAGATGCAGTGTGAGAGCTGAGCGACAGCTGACATCTGATGAAGACGTAGGATGTGGATTGAGCAATAGCTGAATTTTTATTGGAATTTTTGGACTGGAATACAAAAATAGACAAAAAAGATTAATAAAAAAGACCAACAGGATGCATAAAAACTAAAAGAATCCATATATAGATTAAAAGGATGCATAAAAAACACAAAGGTCCCATAAAAGACAAATGATGATAATTTTTAAAAATCAATTAAAAAAACAAATGGTGCATAGAAAGACAGTAAGGATATTTATACATATGCAAACAGAGAAACAGAAAAAGCAAAATGGATGCATTAAAAAAACCCAAAAGATCATAAAATACAAAAATATATATAAAACAAACTAAATGGTATGTATGGGGGCAAATAGGGAGACAGAAAAACAAAGAGAATGCATAAAAGACAAAATCTTTGCATAAAAAGACAAAATAGATGTATGAAAACAAAAAAAAGGGCTTATTGGTAGAAATTATTATAAAACCACACATTTCAGTTGTCATATTTTCACTCAGAAAATGAAAAAAAAAAAAAAATTACCACAGAAAATGAAGTCACAAAACGACGACAAAGTCTCCGATGGAGCAAACATGGTTGAAATGAGACATTTCTCTTAGGATTAAAGGTCCTCGCTGCAAACCATCAAATCAAACATAACAGTTCTCATCTGTATGGTGCAGTTTGAAAGTGTTTAGAGTACTTTTACAGATATATTGACGTAAAATTATAAATGCAGGTATGCACTTGATGTAAACAAAGCTTTCATCTGCATATGTTACTCAACAAATCTGAGCTTAAATTGCACCAAAACATGGAAAAATGTTGTCACTCATATCTTCCTGTAGGTAAACAAACATGTGGTAGGTTGTAGATGTTTACACATTTTACTTACATTTTCTTTAATCTAGGGATACAAAATAAAAGTGCGAATTAGTTTTTTTTTTTATTATTATTATTATTACCAGTCTTGGTGACATTGCAATGAGAACCTATAATTATTTCATCTCATAAGTGAATCAAGCCTGCAGTTGTCGTGGATTAAAGAGATTCCCAAAACAACCAGGTGGAAACTTCATCAGATTTATTACAAAGCTTTGGAGAACAGCCAGCAATCACAGAAGATCAATGATTGACAAGTTCACACTTATCAATACCTTCACCTGTCTGTGGCTCCGACCCGTTCTGATTTCCTGAACAGAAAAAAAATCAGTTTTAAAGAACTTCCAGCCCCCAGCTCCTCCCCACCACAGATCATCTACAGCAGCTAATTTGAGTGCCACTTTTACTTTCATCTTTTTCTGTTTAGCTTTGAATCTCTTCCTCTCAGCTCATTACAGACTATTCAAACGTAAGAAAATGAAAGCAGCTATGGTTTTTCTGTAAATATGAACAATATTTAGAGACACCTTGTGCGCACAGTGGGTGTCTCTCTTCTGCTCCTGCCACCAGGTCTTATCCAGATGTTTGGTTAGGATTGAGGCCAACATGTCGCTGCCATCTTCCGGCCAAGGACCACGAGCGACCTGCTCCTTCAGCTTATCCTCTGAGCTGATAATGGGATCTACCCGCTTCTTCCTGCCTCACCAGCACCAGAAACAAAAATGGGTCTCATGAGAAAGTGGTGCAATCACCCTGTTCTTGTGGCTTTCTCACTTTCCCATCTGTCTGTGCTCGCCTGCAAACGTTATCAGATGGTCTACTTTTTCAGCTTTTTTACATAGTTACACAGTTAATCTGTGAGGAGTACTCATTTAGGTTTCTGGGACAGAAGCTACACCACCTGAGCCTCACAGCGAGGTTTACATGGTGACAAGAAATGTTCAAAAGTCTTGTTCACCTGTTGGTCTTTAAGAAACATGATCGTACAGTAAATCCTTGTTTATCACTGTCTGGCATCATGCCCTTCTTCTCTCTCATTTTCCCTCGTTCCTCTGCTCAAATGCTGTTCCTGAATACAAATTTTTGGTGCTCAGTTTGAGTAATCCGACTTTGTACTGCAGTGTAAAGCAACAAGTCTTGTGCAGTGGGAGTCACAGACTTCTCACATGCTTTCATTTAAATCATTGGTTAAATATTTAACCAAAAACAGATATTAACAAGCATGCAAACCTCCAACTGTGTATATAAAAATGTGTAAGAAAAAAAAAACCTGCTTCACTTTCAGCAGCTATAACCTGCTGTGTTAATGTTTAATCCTGTTTTAACTTGATGAAAGAGAAATAAAGCTGTGTTATGTGTAAAATAAAATTATTGTACATAAGAATAGAACTGAACCGTTAACATCAAAACATAGAAAAGCAGAGAGCCAACAATTGAACCCTGAAGCACTCCACAAAAGTTCAAAGTTGAGTGCAGCGACTGAGTAAATGTGCCCAGCTATAGCTAAAAAAGTATATTTTTGCTAATTAAATGCTGGTTCCCTCAGATTTAAGATGCATTATAAAAAAATGACAAACTGCATTTATTGTGAAAAATGAGTCAGAATTCAGATTATTGTTATGTTTATAGTTTCCTCCATATAATTATTGTAATCAAATTATGCCCATGGTTTGTGCTATTTTAACCCTTCATGTGTCAAAACTGATTTGATTGGGAAAAGTGTCTCATGACTTTTAACATTTATAACTTTTATACTTTTTTATTTTATACTTTTTATTTTATACTTTTCTATTTTAGTCACAGATTTTTCACTCAGAAATAAATTAATACAGTATATCTTCCTTTTTAAAAAAATAAAAATTATGTTCTTAATTAAATCTGCCCTGTTTTTGTTTTCATGATTCCTGTTTTAGCTACTGTTTTACTGTCTTTAGCCATTGCTCTGCTAACTCCAGCTTGGACCTGTTTTGCTAACTCTAGCAATTAGCTGCTGTGTTGCAAATTCTAGGTTTTAGCTACATTTTGCAAATTTTTTATTGAGATATTTTTACTTATTTTAGCTTTTAGCTATGGTTTTGCTAGCATTAGCTTTTAACTACAGTTTAGACTTTTTTTTTGCTTTAAGCTAGAATTTTGCTAATATTAGTTTTTAGCTGCTATTTTATTATTTCTATGAGCTATATGCTACTTTTATTTTTTAACTACAATTTAGCTACTTTTACGGTTTAGCTAATTTTAAAATTTAACAGCTGTTTTGCACATTTTAAGTATTCGCTAAAGTTTTTCTAATTTAAGTTTCTGGCTGCTATTAATTTTAACATTTGAAAATATTTTATCAAGCTTATGTTTTTTTTTTTTTTTTTGGTTCAAACTCATATTTAAACATTTTTCAGCTGTTATTGTTGCATAGCAGCACAAACCACAAATCATCTAAAACCTCTGAAGGCTTCACCTTTTTTTTTTTTTTACCCTTTCTCCAAACACCAATAATAATAATTTTAAAAAGTTTGGAAGTGTGAAGCTAACCACCACCCAGAAGGTAAAACCCCCATGCATGTTTGTGATTCAGTGATATTAGATCACTTAGATAGTTTTTTTTTAGTTGCTATTCTCTTTGGTTAGCAACTAAAAAATCCAAGTTAGATATAGAGAAATATTTTTTTAGTTCAACACTTAAGGGCAAACTTGTTTCTTTACAAAATTATTTAAAAATTACATTAATAACTTGCAAACCCTCCAGTTAGCCTGAAGAGCAGCAGTTTTATAGAGAACTCAGTTTGGAATTTCCAAAGCAAAAAGTGATTTTACATTTCAGAAAAAGAGCAACAACACATTTCTTTCTTGTTAATCTGCGGTCGCTCACAGAGCAGGATTGTGCCGTGACCTTCAGGTAGGTCCTGCAGGATAATCCCGTTAGCTCCAGGCAGACGCTGTGGAAATCTGGGCCGGTCTGTGCCGCACTCTGGATCTTTGAGTCACCGGCATGCAGAACCACCTGTAGATATACGCAGGTAAGAAAAACTAGTTCAGGCACAAACTCATGGAAGACTTGAGGGATGGAAATTAAAAGCTGCTCATCTGAAATTAGAGAGCGTTTGATTCAGAGTTGAAGGTAAAACTGCTGCAGAATTAGAGAGTGTGTAAAAAAATGCAGAACTTGATGGATGGAATAATTAGCTTTTTGTGGTGAGAGTGTGAACTGTTCAGACTATTTAATGACAGAAGACTTAAAAACTGCACAAACAAGAAGTCAAAAGAAAAATGTGTATTGTTTTTCCTCTTGTGTTGCATTTATAGAGTTTATATAATCCTTTAGGTTGAGAACATATGTTTTCTGACTTTCAGCAGTGAGATGTTTGGTAGATTTTCTGTATGATTTAATCCAATACTGTATTTGAGATTAGGCTCCTCTGATAGAGACAGAATATCAGGAATTACCAAGAGTTGTCTGTTTGCCTGCCTGCCTGCCTGCCTGCCTGTCTGTCTGTCTCTACCTGCCTGTCTGTCTGCCTGTCTGTCTGCTTGTCTGCCTGTCTCTGCCTGCCTGCCTGCCTGCCTGTCTGTCTGTCTTGACTCAATATTCAGGGCTGGTCAAGGTGTCCTTGTTCTGTCCGTCTGTCTGTTTGTCTGCCTGTCTGTCTGTCTGTCTGTACCTTTGCCTTTCTGTCTGTCTGTGCCTTTCTGTCTGTACCTCTGTCTGTCTGTTTGTCTATATTTCTGTCTGTCTGTACCTCTGTCTGTCTGTATTTCTGTCTGTCTGTACCTCTGTCTATCTGTATCTCTGTCTGTCTGTATCTCTGTCTGTCTGTCTGCCTATCTGTCTGTACCTCTGTCTGTCTGTTTGCCTGTCTGTCTGTACCTTTGCCTTTCTGTCTGTCTGTGCCTTTCTGTCTGTACCTCTGTCTGTCTGTTTGTCTATATCTCTGCCTGTCTGTATCTCTGTCTGTCTGTCTGTGCCCATCTGTCTGTACCTCTGTCTGTTTGTACATCTGTCTGTCTGTCTGTATCTCTGTCTGCACCTCTGTCTATCTGTATCTCTGTCTGTCTGTCTGCCTGTCTGTCTGTACCTTTGCCTTTCTGTCTGTCTGTCTGCCTACCTGCCTGCCTGTCTGTCTGTCTGTGCCTGTCTGTCTGTCTGTCCATCTGTCTGCCCGTCTGTCTGCCCGTCTGTCTGTCTGATGTTCTTCCACCTGAGCAGAGTGACACCTCAGCCTCCTAATGGAGTCTAACGTTTGCTGCGTTCCCATCACGAGCTATAATGTTTGTTAAAAGAACGTGCATCATTAAATTGTTCAGCTACCATCACACATGAACTCAGCTCAACTTCTGTCAAATTAACAGTTTTATCCATTTTGTGTTTTGGGAGGTCAGCTGGCTCTCCTTTAACGAGAACGTTGTAAACTCCTTATCATCAGCATCATAAACCATTTTTCAGAAAGGTCTTCTTCAGAAGCTGACTCTGTCTTAACAGGATGTTTAACTGGGTGGTGAAAGTGGTTCCTCAACCTGCTGAAACTCCAGGGGCTGCTGAACCAGTCAAGACTGTAAGATATCACTGAAATACACTGTACATGATCATTTTTGTGGGTTTTATTTCATTTTGTTATGTGTTTTTTAATCTCACAGGAGCCTGTAAAGAACAACGAGGGTGAGGATAATGTACAACTTTACTATTTGTTTCTTTTAGATTGAATGATATATTTTAAATCCAAATGCTTTTATTTCTTACAGTGAAGACACAGAAAAAGACAGAAGTAGTTTTGGAGAATGGGTAAACTTATTATTATTATTATTATTATTTTTTGCACAAGCTTCTTAAAATCCACCAGTGTGTATTTAAGGCTGCTCACCTTCTCCACAGTCAGAACAACAGCGGAGTGATCAGCTGGCTGTCCAACGGGTTCGTCAGCACCCTGCCCCAGCCTCCTGGATCTTCTCTACTCAGCAGGACCAATTCAGACTCCAGGGTGAGTCTGGGTGAATCTAAAGTCTGCTTTGTTTCTGAGGGTTTACTTCAACTTGAGCAAAGTTTGGGAAACAAGAAGCCAAACTTTCTGGTCTTGATTCGTTATTTTTCAGGCTTTCCAAAAGCCTTGCAAAGTTTTTCTTTTTGGACTTTATCTGCGTTTTTACCCATTTTCAGTCCAAAACTATAAATTTAGAGGAAAAGGTTTTTATTAGGCTTCCCAGCACTAAGATGTGAACATAAATAGCATATTTAACTCAAAGAATGTGCTGTGTGAACACAAAACAGACACTTAAGACAAGAAGGGAATTTTAATTGGATCTTTAAGCACTTGCTTACTGACAACAGAAACACAGTTTGTTCCTTTTTTTATAAATAAAATCTATTAAAAAAAACACAGAAAACTCTATTTAACAGACATAAACAAGATTATTCTCCATTGAAAGAGGATGCATCATTTAAGTTGTGTTAGATCTTTGTTGAATTTTTTAGTATTTCTTTAAGATGACTTTCAGATACTGCTTATTTGCTGTAAGTGGTATTTTTATGCCTCCTTTTATTTTGTCCTCCATTTGTCCACTTTTCTCTTGATTTTTAACCAAACCCTTCATACTGTCATGGTCAGATATGAGAACTGGACAGAAAATGAGTGAAAAAGCTGCTGAAGTTCAATGAAAAACTCCAGAGAGCCTGGTTAATAAAACCACTTTAAAAGATTACAACAAACTCTGGCTTCTTACAAACGACATATAAAACAATGAGGAGTTGTTTAATACTTTTGCACAGTATTTTAAACATCTGTCAGCAACACTGACAATCCATGATGTCACTTGTCTAATTGTTTCCTCCATTGTTTCTTCTTCTTTGTATGACAGCCAGGGGAGGATGGAGAAAGGTACCACACCTTTATGCTTCCAGTGAATATTTCTGTCAGAATGTGCAGAGCTGAAGTTTTTCTCACAGCTGGTCCTCCCTCAGGTCCGGAGTAATCAACTGGGTCACTCAGGGTCTGACCAAAGTGCTGCCCCAGCCTGACGAGAAGTACCGAGATAATAACGACACCAAAAACACAGCAGAAGAGCACACAGAGGTGGGGGCTCCGAGAACATTAGAAAGCTAACACGTTTATTAAAATTGGTACAAATAATAAACAACCACCGTTCTTTTGAAGGAATGCTTATCGCCCGCCACCTTTAATGCCAGAGTTTAAACTAAGCTCGTGAAAAATAAGGATTTTGCCATTTGTGTCAAAGCGTAAAAACAAATTACCGTATTTTTCGGACTATAGGGCTCCACTTAAAATCCTTGCATTTTCTCAAAAATCGACTGTGAGCCTTATAATTCGGTGCACCTTATAGTCCGAAACATACAGTATGCTCAGAGTGTGTGTTGTAAATGACTCTCAGCTACTACCACAACTAATTTTAGCTCATTATATGTTAAATGGACTGAGTTATTCGCCATTTTTCTGTTGGCTAAGTTGAATTAACTGTGGTGGCCATTATTAGTTGGGTTGACTCCAAAAGTTAATCAGTTGTAGTGTTTCATCCTGTGCACACACACAGACCTGGACAAAAATGTCATAAAAAACATTATTGTTCTGCATTTTGTCGTCAGGTGGTAATGACGCCATGGGTTGTCCAATTATTGTAAGTCGGCCACTAAACAGAGGATTATTTCTGTGACTTGCGTGTTGTTTGACTGCAGCAACCTAACTCGGCCTCGCAGGCTCGTTACACTAATCATGTGCACGGATTAAGGTTAGAAAGCAGTTTAAAGGGGCGCTTTATCCAAGTTAAAGCCCTTTGCTAATTTTACTCCGTTACAAACCAGACTCTGTGATTAAGAACCGTCGTACCTGCAACATTCAGACCACCTGCTTTCACATCAGGATGTTTAAAACTGATGGTGTTTGCATAATTTATCACACATTTAGACAAAATACAGAAAAATAAGCTCTTTTTCAATACAGGAACGTTTATCGTGTCTTTGATTTTATTGTTAACGCTTGTTTTTGTGCCGTTACAGGTATACGAAGTAGCAGCGATGCCAGGTATGTTTCACAAATCATGGTGATATTTGCTGTTTTCACAAAGACTGATGATAAGTAACTGTTAATATAATCTTAACAGAATGCACCTCATGGTTAATCACTTGTTGGGTTGTGTGTTCAGAATATGACCCTCTTCCACACATCCCCGTGGTGGAGGTGGTTTCAGAAGACGAGGGGTTAGAAGAGGAGAGCTTGACCTCTCAGTTTACACCCAGGTGAGGGTAAACACCTCCACAGCTCCTCGCCCTGATGCTTTATTTGCATGCACAGTGGGACAGTTAGTTTAGAGCCTGACCGCGCTCATTGACTCGTTTACTCCACCTAATCTTTGACCTTTCTCCTCCTTTCCTGCAGGATGAAGAACTGGATCAAGCAGATAATCCCTCAGCCAGTGTTGCCCCCTGGTGCCGTACCCACAGAACCGGCACCCAAATCCTCCCGTTCTTCCATCGACAAAAGTAAATCAGGTTTCAAATAGAATAGAATAGAAACAGCCTTTATTGTCCCACCAGTGGGAAATTCAAGTGTAACAGCAGCAACAGATACAAAGATGCACACAAAAGTTCCTAAATGTTAAAAACAATATATGAAGAAATAAGATAAACAATATCAATAAAATTGTTCAGTATGTGTTGGAACATTGACAAGGACAGACTATTTACAATACAGTATTAGTATATGTATTTATATATATATATATATATATATATATATATATATTTTTTTTTAATGAACTCATTGGTGGACCGGACTGAAGTCACCTGCAAGCCGGAAGTGGCCCGTGGGCCACCAGTTGAATAGTCCTGGTTTAGCTCATTTGGGAGATGGGAGCTACAACTTTTGTTTTTGTAACTTTGTAACTTTGATACTTTTTAAAATTTAACTTTATTTTAAAATATTTTCACGATAGAAACACACTGGAATCTCTTCATTTCCTTCTCATATTGTTCTCTTGGAAACCTGCACTGTGTTTATCTGGTGTTATCTTTAGTTACTCTTGTGCTACTCCAGCTTTTAGCATGCTTTTTAATAATTTTGACTACCTTATTGTAACTTTTAGTTACATTTTTATTAACTTTTAGCAAGCTTTTTGCTACTTTTAGCCTTCAGCTAGTGCTTTGTTAATTCTAGCCAGTGGTCTGCTTGTTCTAGCTTTAACAAATCAGCTTTAGCTTCTTTCATTAAAGTCATTCAGTGCTCCTATTGCATTTTTTTTTAACTTTTTTTGAGAACAAGTGTGTTATTGTCTCTTCAGTTCTGTCTCCACCACCTGAGTCTCTCAGTGGAATCTCTCTGGATACTGACGGCAAAGCCTCTGGGTACGTTTAGATCCACGCTCATGAGTCAGAACACTGATTGTGACACAAGAAGTTGGATTTTAATCAAATTTGGAGAAAGAATCAACCTAGATCTTCAGGAATACCTCTCTCCTTTCATCAGGATCAAACCTGCATCTCTGACTCTATTTTCATAAATCAAATCAAAATGCTGAAACAGTTCTCACCCTTGTGAGATTAAAAGTTTTTTTTCAGGCATTTTTTCATGCATGTCAGCTGTTTTCTCAGCAATAAGGAACAATGTTACACTTTTTTCACTTATGTTTGGATTTCTAAACAAATGAAAAAGAACTGCAGGTCACTGATTCAACTGTTTTGCAGACAGATAAGCATAAATAGACAAAGCAGCCTGTAAAAAAGCAATAAGTATAACTGAATTTTTTTGTTAGTTGTGCATGATGGTTGAGTTAAAGGGTACCACTACACAATAAGAGCCCCTTTTACAAAAGATTTATTAACACTTAATACAGAAGTTATTTATAAGCTTGTGAACATTTCATGAAGCATCAACATTCATTTATAAAGCAGTTGCAAAACACAGTTCATACAATGACGCTGGGTCACTATTTGTTTAGATAAAGTGCCGTACTTTTGTTCTTCATCATTTATATTTTAATAGAGTTTGGTAAATTTCACTAAAGATTTCCACTTCTTGATCACTTGAGATATTAAAACTTAGTACATTCTTGCTTTGCTAAGTCTCCACCATGAAAATGAAAGATAACTGCGCTTAATGTGTCCACCCATGCATGTTGACCTCCTCTCCACAGAGTGGTGGACTGGTTTGTGTCAGGACTGGGTTTGAAGATGCCTCAACTTGTTGTTCCACCTAAAGATGATGCTGAGGTAACTCTTACTGTCCCACATCATGTTACTATGATTTTTATATTTTACAAGTGCTGACATATATTGCATTTCTCTTCAAATTGTACTTTAGACTGCAACCGAAGTCCTGCAGAAAGGTGAGTTTGAACTTCCTGAAACAACAACAACAAAGTAAGAAACGAAAAAACAATTTGAACTGCAGTTTCTTGCCACAATTCACGGTTCCAGCAACAAATATTTATTAAAGACTAAACAAGAACGCACATGCCCGCTGCCATTCATGCCTGAATTTTAGACTAAGATTATTTTACATTATGCAGCCATTATAAAGTTATATATGATCTTATGCAATATTATGAGATGTCATGCTCAGAGTATGTGCTGTAAATGACCCTCAGCTACTACCACGCTAAAAATGAACTCATTGTCTGCAAATTTGACTAAGTTTGAGCCTTTTTTCCCGGTTAGCTAAGTTGATTAGCTGTGGTGGCCATTTTAAATTAGATTTACTCTAAACACTAATCAGCTGTAAATGTGCAGCCAATGAGTATTTCCTGAAAGTTTCACTAAAATCTGTTTGGTGGTTCACAACATATTTAGTTAACAGACAAACAGGGTTGACTTCAACATTTGTTGCTAAAGTTTTAAATGAAATTCTTGCACAAAAAGTAGCACTTGTAGTTGATGTTGTGAATGCCTCTCAGCTATACAACCAAACTAAATTTAGGTGCAAAATCTGTAAAATCAATTAAATTATAGTCATTTATGCATTCTTGGAGGTCAAACAGTTGTGGAGGCCATCTTGAATTAAATAGACTCCAAAAGTTAAATAGTTGTATATGTACATCTAATGATTGAATCCTGAAAATGTCATTAAAATCCAATACTTGATTTATTGGATATTTTACTAACAGACAGAGAACATTGACTCCAAATAATCAATGACAAAAATCCTGCACAATTTATATGCGCTTGTTGGGTATCAGTCTCAGCTACTACCACACCAAAATTTTGCACAATATTTATAACACAGACTGAGTTACATGTATTTTACTGTGTTCTGAGGTCCGTTGGCTGTGACGGCCATCTTAAATCGAGTTGACCAGAAATATTCAGTTGTAGATACATCTATTGATTACTTTGCGAGTGTTTCAAATGAGCACAAACACCTGTAAAATTAAATGGAACTCCAGTTAGAGGTGGGCTGTTTGTAAAATATTGCACTTTTGTTTTGCGCCATCTTGTTTTTCCCCCTCATAGTTTTTGGAGAGCCTTTTTGGTCGGACGGCCGGAGCCTAACTCAGTCCCTCTTCTCCTTCTGTTTCAGGGGGGAAGGTGCTGCGAGCCCCTTGAACAGCAGGAGGAGACGGCTGGGGGACGCTCCGGTTCCTACAGATAGATACCAATAAAACGTTACAGTGTGGGGAGAACTATAACGATCAGCTCACAGGTTTCAGGCAGCTGTTGCTCTAATGATCTCAGGACAGTTTTATAAGAAGTATTTCTGACTAAATAATGGATCTAGACTATGCACTGTGTTATTTTTTTTTTTTAGCATAATAATGCTTATTTTTGTTTGTAACTCTAATTTGCACATTTTATGATTAACAGAAATGTTTGGTCATTGCTGTAGGTGTCAGACTGCATAAAGGATGCTTGTGCTTTAATTTATTATAAGGTCCACTATATATTCATGTTAGCAGAAAACAAGCAGTGAACTAACGACAACAAAAATGATTGTAAATTGTTCACAAAGTCAAATGTAGATTCCCGAAAAAAAAAGAAGAAATCTTTCTCAACACACCGTACATAGTTTTTTGAAAAATGGGTAAAGGGGATGGTCCGGTCATTTTTGAAGTGATGTTTGGTCTGATAGTTATAAATAGTTAAAACCTTATCAGCCATGATGTCAGTCATAAAGCATGGAGTATGAAGAAAGAGACAAAAGTCCATGTTACTATGGAAATGCATGTGTGCTGAGCAAAGATAAACTTTGTGTATATTCACAAAGTAACACTGACATTGTTAGGTTGAAAAAACAGTGATGACCTAAACAAACTGCATTAAGCAAAGTCATAAAGCTTTAATATTAGCTAAAGGATCATATTAAATAAGCTAAATATAAGCTTCTTTCACACTAGTGTCATTTTTGAAAAAGAGTTGTTTTATAAGCCTGAAAAACAGCAAAATACTGACACTCATTCAGGAGCGACACCAAGGGGGGCCCAGTGGGGGCAATCCCCCCCCCCCCCCCCCAATAAACAAGTGCCCTCCCCCAACTGGCCCCACTTGGCCTGACAGTTATATCCTTTTGAGGCCCAAGCTTTTGCTTAGATTACACTTTTTATTTCCCCTAGCCATTTAGGATTAGCATAACCTCATAGCATCAACGTAAAAAAAACAACAACATTGTTTTTGGTCATTCAGGAGTTAAAAATGTACATCCATCCATCCTTCCATTTTCTTCCACTTATCCGGGGTCAGGTCGCGGGGGTAGCAGCCTAAATAGGGAGGCCCAGACTTCCCTCTCCCCAGCCACTTGGGCCAGCTCCTCCGGTGGAATCCCGAGGCGTTCCCAGGCCAGCCGAGAAACATAGTCCCTCCAGCGTGTCCTGGGTCTTCCTCTGGGCCTCCTCCCAGTGGGACGTGTCCGGAACACCTCACCAGGGAGGCGTCCAGGAGGCATCCTAAACAGATGCCCGAGCCACCTCAACTGGCTCCTCTCAACGTGGAGAAGCAGCGGCTCTACTCTGAGTCTCTCCCGGATGATCGAGTTTCTCACCCTGTCTCTAAGGGAGAGCCCAGACACCCTGCGGAGAAAACTCATTTCGGCCACTTGTATCCGTGATCTCGTTCTTTCGGTCACAACCCAAAGCTCATGACCATAGATGAGGGTGGGAACGTAGATCGATCGGTAAATTGCAAACTTTGCCTTTGGTCTCAGCTCTCTCTTCACCACGACAGACCTGTACAGCGCCCGCTTCACTGCAGACGCTGCACCTATCTGCCTATCGATCTCACGTTCCATTTTTCCCTCATTCATGAACAAGAAAATGTACATATACATTTTATACAAAAAATATAAACAAAACTTAAAATTTAGTCCCCCTGAAGAAGTACAGTCGCTCTAAAACCAATGTCTTCAGCATTATGATGCAGAGTCTGAGGAGGATTTATGCTTTTTTTATTGATTTTTTATTTACAAGCTTCAATAAGTTGAAAAAGGACAATGGTTTTTCTCATTAAATAATACCAACTGTAAATTAAAAATTAAAAATAAATAAATAAACTAAAGTAAACTTTTGAATACCAGAAGGGGACTCATTAGCTCCAGTATTGTTGCATTTGTCAAATAACCTGTATATACTGTTTGACAACAACATAAGTTTTAGTGCCACCTCAGGATTTTCTGTGACCCCACATGACCACCCCATGAAAACCTTTCTGGAGGCACCTGTCTCTCATTTGACTCGCTATTAGCATAACCTGGATGAAGACTTTTGCCTCTTTCTTCACGCTCCTTGCTCTACGACTGATGCCACGGCTGATAAAGAGCTGATCACTGATAACTATTAGACCGAACATCACTTCAAAATGACTGAATTATCCCTTTAAGTGGCAGCTAATTTATTCTCATGTTGTATGAGATCAGAGTATAATGTTTTGTCTGAATTTATACCTGATTTGTTGTAGAGGAAATATTTTATTAAAGTTTGATCTCTAAGTTTAAATATTTTTTTTGTCCTTGAAGAAAGATATGTTCACCTTAGGGACTTAATAAATGTGCAACAATGATTCTTTAAAGCCATTTTTGGGGAATATTTTAAACCTTTATTTGACAGTTGGTCACAATTAATTAAGCAGGAAATGGTCAACCGGTTCAGTTCAGGGTCCAGTGAATCATTTCCCAGTGAAAACCTTCCCACAGCTTCAAATGAAGCTGAATAAAACAAACGTAAGAAAAGTCGATGCAGTGACATCGGCGCACCAGATCTGCTTCATCGACTTGAACTGTGAACTGTGGTCTGAAGTTGTGGTGCGCTTTGGTTCCTCAGTTTGAAAAGCCCAGGAAAGATTTAGTCATCCAGAGCATCTAGTAAACACATGAACACTTTAAAGTAAGTGAAAAGTAAAAAAAAAAAGTCCATTGTATGAACTTGTTTACATTGTGTGTGTGAATGATCTGCACTTGCACAATTTTCAAGCAGAGGAGAATCCTGATGCGTTCACTGGCTCTGTGCACATCTAAACAACTTTAAACTATGTCATCAATGTTGAACTTAATCACTTTTAAACTGCATGTATATGCAAAAAAATAAAATAATAAAGATGTCATCTGAGGTTGTGCACTTTGGTCTCTTTGGACCGCACAGCAATCTGCTCTGACTGCAGATCATAGACATGTTGCACTAATAGACCATATTGTTGTCACATTTTCTCAGTGTTGGGAAATGATGCCAGCAGGAACTGTTTTACGAAAGCTGCCATGTTGCTTTCTTGAAACCAGTTTGAGGGCTCGCAATGTAGGGCTTTAAATACCACCTACTTCCCAAGACACAACCATCACAAGATCTTTCATTTAAGTATGAAATAAATAATTACAGCTAAATGTGTTAATAAATAAAAAAAAAAAAAACAATTTTAACATACAGCTACAAGGTCAGAGCTTCATTAACCAACAAGAGTAAAGGCCTGAGCAAAGCTGCCTTGGTGAATTATTATTATTTATTTTAACAAGCGTTGTGTGGAGGAGAGGGAGCTGAGCTCCAATGTGAAGCTATTTGTTTACCAGTCAGAGTACGGTCCTATCATCACCTATGGTCAAGTTCTTTGGGTTGTGACAGGAAGAAAGAGACCTCAGATACAGAGATTAATTTCTCTGCAGGGTAGCTGGACTCTCCCTGACAAAGCCAGTTGAGGTGATTGGAGTGTCTGGTAAAGATGCTCCCTGGATGCCTCCCTATATGAGGTGGTCTGGACATGTCCAATTGGGAGGTCACCATGATGAAGACCCAGGAGACGCTAGAGAGACTATGTCTCTTGTTTGTACACCTTGAAATCCTTCTAGAAGAGCTGGAAGAGGCGACAGTGGAAAGAGATGTCAGGGCCTCCTCCCTGCTTAAGCTGCTGCCCCAGCGACCCGACTTCGGAACAAGCAGAAGCTAATGGCTGGATGGATGGATAGATGGATGGATGGATGGATGGATGGATGGATGGATGGATGACATACTTTACCTACTCTAACCTTGATAACTGAATCCTCTGCTCAGTCATGGTTCTTTACACAAAGACAAAAGACTCCTCACCAGAACTAAAAGACCTAAAAGCACAAAATGACTGTTTGCACTAACGACAGTAGGACAGTGCAACACACACAAACACTTCACAGCTTGTTTACCCACCACAAAAGATGCAATAACACAAAATAATGATCATTTGCTTCAATACTTGACAAAGCACACTAATAAGATTTTGTGAAACTCCCTTTAAAAAGCTTAAGAAACAGAGAACAACTTTTTAGGATAGTAATGGTGCAGAGATTAGAGAAGGCGAGCCTGTGATTGGGAGGTCACTGGTTTGAATCCCCTGACCATTACATCAAAATATGGGTGGCCCTTGAGCAAGCCCCCCCACCCCCACCCTGGAGAGATATTGCCCTTACATCCAAGTACACATGACCCTCCAGCTCAAACACAGAGTGTCATCCTTTCAGCATGAGCAACATGTCTCTGACATGGACACACAGAAACCAGTATTTATACATTCCAAGCTGAACCAAGCTGAAGAGGGATTTCCAGACGGCAGACACTCTTATCATTGTTTTGGCGTGTCTATCTGAAAAGAACGCCTTTGTTTAATTAGTTGAAATGTGAAGAAAATTTAACAGACAAAGAATAATTTGACTTGGTGATGTTTTTCTTGCATACACCTGTAGACTTACACAGTTTAACATAGTAGAAAAACATTCTGGCAACAAGAGAAAGAAGAAAACACAAATAATACATTACTTTTTTATCAGTTACAGTTTAAAAAATAAATTCCTTAATAGAATATTACTACTTGCCTAATATTTGTGCTTTCTTACTTCAATTTATTTTCCATTTGTTGCTGTAAATATGTGCCGATGTGCTAATTTGACAACAAATTTAAGAATGAACATAAAACATAAATATAAATACATAAACTACCTTATAGATCCATGAATCCACCATTCAGTCATGTCAGTTTAACCCTCCTGCTGCCCTCGGGTCAAAAGGACATGCATGGCCTGGGGTCTCATAGGTCGTTTCTACCCAAAGGCAACAAGGGTTTCAAAATGAAAAAAATCTCAAATTCCCCATTATGTTTGCAGTGTTCCCTTAATTTATTTCCAATAAACTGACCATTATGCTAATTTCTCAGCTTCATCCAAACTCAATCCAGACATGGTGCTGGAGGACGTGGAGTCGGATAATGAGGGCCAGCAGAAATATGAAGACCACATCAAAGTTTCAGCTCCGTCTAAGTCTCTGAGTACACATCCAGTCGCAATGCAGCAACAAGAAGAAACACAGAAAAATATTGAGGCGCAAACATCAGAGAGTGTGACAAAGATATCTCAGGAAGATGCTGAGACCCAGACGGGTCGCTGGACGCCTTTTATCGAAAGCATCAAGAAGGAGGCTGAAGATGTGGCTTTGGCCAATATGGAGGAAAGGTAAGAAAGGTGTAAACAAAACAACAAAGAGCTTAAATGATCACAATTAAATGATAATTATTAAAATGATCTAAATTGAAAATTATGTGTATGCTTTTCCATTTAAAACTTTAAGGGTCTGCACCCTGTGGCTCTAGGGCCACATTCAGATCTTTGACTAAAACTAGCAAAAAATTAACTAATAAAATATATTTGTAGCCATGTTAAAAAAAACTATATAACTTCTCTTGTCCGGTTTTCTGCATTATGAGAGTAAAAATATCTAAGTGAACAAAACTATACCGACAAACAACCTGCTTGTCCTAATAGTTGGTTAGCCAGTTTACTCCTTTGCTGATTTAACTTACTGTGTAGTCTTTCTCTGAAAGCCACTCAGAAATTAAACGTGCTTTTAAAATTTGCAGCATATTGCTGAAAAGAAAAACCAGAAAGATCAATTCTGAAAATATATTTCTTCACTGGGAGTCACTGAAACAAGGCGTTCTAGAAAAAGGCTCTACACCAAACTACTTCCACAAAACTTTGAACTGTTTTAACCATTCATGTCAAAAAGTTCAGCTTGATTTGGATTAGAGTGCTATTGCTTTTGAAATTTGTCACTTTTATACTTGTACCAAAAATGTTAACATTTATTTATAACTTTAGTTGAAACAAGTTCCCCCCCAAAAATACCCTGAGATCTCCTTAATTCCTTCAAAACATATTGCAACTTTTAGCTTTTAGTTACTTTTAGTTTTTAGCCACCAGTTTGATGTTTCTAACTTTTAGCTACTGCTTTGTTACTGTTAGCTTTTAGCTATTGTTTCGCTGCTTATAGCTGTCATTCAGCTTCTTTCAATTTTTAAAAAACTTTTTTTTTTTTTTATCTTTTGTCTTCTGTTCTTCTACAGTTAGCTTTGACAGTTTTGCTGCTTTTAGCTTTTAGCTACAGTTTTTCCTGACTTTAACTTTAGCATTTGTTTGAGCTACAGCTTTGTTTATATTAGCATAGGTTGTATTAGTTTAAGCTACAGTTTTGCTACTTTATTCTTTAACAACCTGTTTTGTTATTTTTATCAGCTGTTTCACTAGATTTAAATTTAGCATCCATTTCCCTAAATTTAGCTACAGCTGATTAAAACTGCTGTTCTGCTATCTTTACCTCTAGCTTCTGTTTAGCTACTTTCAGTCCATTTTTGCTAATTTTAACACACTTTGTTCATTTTAGCTTTAGTGTGTATTTAGATCATTTTTAGCCATTGTTTTGCTTTTAGATGTAGCTTTCTGCTGCTGTTAGCTTTTAGCTAGTATTCTGCTTATTTTAGTCTGTTTTGTTCATTTTAGTCTTGCATGTTTAAGGTTAAAACCCTGGTTAGTCAGCAAGTTTCAATGGTTATTCAGCACTCAGCATTTACATCACTTTTTTGCAGATAATTTAATTTCTTTAGTTTACATTAAATTTTCTGCGCAGTCATATCAGCTTTCCCTGTGTGCCCTCAGGCTTCTTCAGGAGCGGATGGAAATGGCTCGACTGGCTGAAGACGTGGCCCGGCAGACAGCAGAGATGGCTGTTAGACAGATGGCCAATGAGGGGACGTCCATCAAACTCTCACTAGAGAGTCAGGAACTTCTGGAGGAGCCTGAAGAAGAGTAAAACGAGATAATTTCTCCGTGTTCATTTAAACCAACAGTGAGCCTGTCTGCAAAACCTGTGATGCTGAATGCTCACTGTGTCTGCAGGTTACTGGTGACAGAAGAAGAAGAAAACAAAATGGAGGAGAGGAATGTCAAAGAGTAAGCATCTAATTAGGAGTTTCCTCACCACTGTGTTTTGTGTTTTATTCTGATCAGTTATCAGAGGTAATTACAGTAAGCTGCAGGCATTGGCTGGATTATACTTTAAGGCAGAGGGAAAATGAAACAAAGCACAAACACATTAGATACTTTGAGAAACTTGCACATTGTTTTAGCAGATGAAGATTATTTTCACCAATAAAACACTTCATTACACCCAGTGTATAGCTGCATATAGAAAAATAAATAAATAGTGTAAAAAGCATACCAGTAGTCTTTCTTCTCTAAGTAAATTTAAATGTTAACTGTTGACAACTATACAAAAAATTAAAGAAACATACAACACTATAATTAGGGAAGTATAAAATGTAAATGGTGCACTCAGTGTCATCAGTGAGAGCACACAAAAACAACTGTTTGAGCAGTCAGAAAAGCTCTTAGTCAACCAAACCACGAACCACGCCTGAAAAGATGGTCTCATTAATTCAAACAATTTAATCAATAATAAAAACAAATATTAAAGTAGGGTGTTTGAGTTTTTTATTTATTATAAATTAGACTTTTTATTTGAATTTATTTATTAAGGATGTACATGTACTGTAAGTCATAGTTTATATATATACTTGTATTTATTTTAATGCTAATCTTAGGTAACTAAATGAACTAACTTGAAGTGTTTGTATGCAATTTTGTCAGGTGTCTGCCAAAGGAAACCAAATATTTTTGATAAAACTTGTGCAGATGAGTTACGTTAGTATAATTTTTTTTTAAGTATATAAAAAAAGAGATGAAAAAATATGTTTTAGCTCTGCTTTATCAATTAAAAATCCTAAATTGTGTCTAAAATGGCATACATATTAATTAAATCCATGAACAGTTCATCTAAGACATGTTTTTTGGTCAGTGTTTAGGCAGGCTTAAAATCCCCTGAGCTCTGCCTCAGCAGCATCACATCATGGCTTCCTAGCAACCACAGCTTCCCTGACAACAGCCCACCTCTTCGCTCCTCCCCTTCACCCCTCCTCTTGACGGTTACCACGGTAACAGCGCGCGCTCCTGCATCCGTTGACTGGTGTCGTATGTAAACCAACAAAACAGAAACAGGGAAATTTAGCATTTCCCCCGTCGTTTTGATGACATTTATAAAATTACGGTAATTACTTGGACAGATTTATGACCGAGTTCACGTTTCTGCTTTTTCTGTCAACGCTCCCTGATATTTTTAGTGGGATTTTTAATAATTATCGCGTGATTTGACGGAGAAAGTGAGTATTTTATTTTATTGATAACTCGCTCCGATATGTCACGAAACTAACCAGTTAGTTATCTCGTAACTTCGTTAAAGTATTTAGAAGTAAAATGACAAGTAGTTAACGGTATGTGGGAGATATTTATGTCATCAAGTGGTATAATTTTAAGCTAGCAGAGAGAAAAACGCGTTAGAATCTGGGTCGTTTTTAGCTTGTAGCCTACAAGTTCCATCAGGCTATTTTGTTATTCTGTAACTATCAATGTTGAAACGTGTTTTTTTTTTTCTTTTTTCTTTTCATCTAAATTATATTTTTATGTCTGAACATGATCAGACATAAAAATACACATGTTAAAACTAATGCATTAGTTTTAACATATCTTTTTGTTAATATAGGTTGAAACTTACGTTTGAAAAAAATTAAGATATAATCTAAAGCCATACCAAAGATACTTTAAATTACTCAAAATGTATTTACACTCATAGCCACTTTTATGGTTAGGAATCACAGTTTATACACATCATATATATATGATGTATATATAACTCAATAAGTAGTCTTTAATTTATATCAAATTTACAGCTTTCTTGTCTTTTTTCTTTGTCTCTCCATCATTTTGTTCAACTGCAGATTTTTTTGTTACAATCACAACATCAATCCGAAATTAAATCATATTTCATTACCTTGGTTTGATCCATATTTTCCTTCTTTGTGCCACACCCTCAAACTTTAGTAGTTTTTTTTTCTTTATTGATTTAAGTATCACCACTGTAATGTGTTCTTGTAATTCTGCCAGCCGTCTTAAAAAACCCAAAGTGATTATCTGCTGAATATCAGAGAAACTTTGAATAATTGTTCAACTGTCTGATCTGTTTTGTCCTGCAGAAAGGAAGAAAGTCTATCTCAGGACGAGGAAAAAGTCGAGACTGAGGAGCCAACTATCAAGGAACCAGGTAGAGAACATTTATATAAAATAGAGTTCATGCATCCTCGTTGTGTTCTAATGTTAAATAAATGCTTTATATTTAAATAATCTGCAGTCAGTCTCATGAAATTTACCCTCCAAAAAATTCAAGAGCCAGAGCAGGAAGAAGTGCCAAAAGAGACCTCCCCTCCTCCACCTCAATGTCTTGAACCAGAAAAAGCTTCAGAACCTGAACCCAAGACCCAGGAAGACAGTCCAGAAGCTCAACCAGTGACCCAACAGCCCCAGAAAGCAGACGGCAGCAACACTGAGAAGACTGGTGAAAAAGTAATTTTCAAATGCTTTTTATTTACAGTAATGGATGTGTCACTGTGAGGATGAGGAGCATTACAAAACTAGCCTATTACAAACTTTTATTTTATGTTTTACAGACAAATGTGTTGCCTTTAGGAAATGGTTATATACTATTTGTTTCTATCTGCTGTGTTCACTTTGTCTTTCTTTTTTTTTTTTAAACAAAATCTAAGAAGCAATTTCTTACACTAAGTTGTGCATGTGAAGGAAGTTTTTTTTAAGTAACGTTTTCCTTCTTCAGTTCATTTTGGTTTCTTTAAGTCAAATTTTAGAAAGAAATATGCTTTTTAGGAAACGTTAAAGTTTGCCAAAACTTTTGTCTTCTGTATCTAACTATTCCTGTTTTTTACTGTAGGAAGAAGAGGCTACTGATGACGGCTGCGGTGGTATGTCATTTTTTTACGGATTATTTGCACAACAGTGATAAGGTCTGATATATTCTTCCTGTAAACAACTGTCTCACTAAAGTCTGCACTTGTGTTGAACTCTTCAGTTGTTTATTTGAATGCTGTTCTAGATGGCAGAGAAAGAGATTTATACTGCATTTATTTTATTGCTGCCACACTTTAGGAAATCTGACTGCTGGTGTGATTTTTTTAATTTTATCTTCTTACGTTTATTTGGACAAACTTTGCTATTGTTTTATTGTCAGTTTGATCCATTTCCCGCCTTGCTCTTATTCTTCTTGACTAACTGCCTATCAACCTGTCTTCTCTGTAGCTTCAGTCAGCTGTGATACATTTAAAAAGTGCCTGATGCGCTTTCCTCCCACCTCCGAGTGCTTTGGCAACATCAACGCGTTCTTCAAAGAGAACGGCATCTCTGCTCCCAAAATTCCTAAGCTACCAACCCAGATCTCTGATATTACTAAGCACATACCCTCCCTTCCTCCTGAATTACGTCAAGAGTTCTCGCAAATCAGACTCACTCAGATCCCGAGGAACATCGCTCAAACTGTAACTGAGCTGCTGCCTAAAGGTTCAGAGGGATCAGCAGGTCCCAGTCTGTCAAGTCTTTCTCAGAGCTTTTCCAGTGTCCCTCAGAAACTCTTCCAGTTTCCAAGCCGAACTCAACAGTACTTCCAAAACGTCCGGAACCGCCTCAACAGCCTTATGCCACAAGATGCCTAAAAAACAACAACTACAACAACAAAAACAGATGCAAGACAAGAATGAACAGGATGTAGAACTCTTCCAATTTGTGCGACATCCACCTCTTCCTCCTCCTCATCACCTGCGGTCCCGCTCCCCATCTCCATCCTCACCTAGTGGTAGCACCCTTAATTTGCCCAACGTGCCATCATACCCACGCCTGCCACCCATCGTCAGCCCACCTTCGACACAGCTCAACTCCCTACCCCGGCAGCTGTCTTGTCTCTCTAATCCAGCGTTCTTCATTGAAGATGACTCAGACTGTTCATCAGTAAGACCCGCAGGTGAATCAGCATTAGTGAGAATTAACTGTCCACCATTTTGACATATTAGTGAACTTAGTCGTGATTGGTAGGCTATTGTCTCACTGTACGTGTCATCTAACTTGAACTTGATTATGTCCAGAGATTTTCAGGTAAAACAACAATTTGCAATCAGTAATTTTGTTTTAGATGACACAACAAATTGTGTGTTTAGTTGTGTGAGCAACATGTGAAGATCATCAAGTAGCTCGTTTGTGTTGTGAGTGGAGTTTTGTGCATTTGTGCTGTCTTCAATTTCTCATTTCACAAATTCTAAATAAGTTGGGACGTTGTCTGAAATGCAAATAAAAACAAAATGCAGCGGTTTGCATGTTTCAGAAACCCATTGTTTTGTTTGCATTGGAACAAAGAAAACAACAAATTCTGAAAGTAAGAAATTGTATCTTTAAAAAATTGTCTTTTTGATATTTAAGGCAGCAACACATCTCAAAACAGTTGGGACAGGGGCTATAAAAAACTGTGAAAGTAAATGATGCAAATAAGAAACAGCTATAGGGACATTTAGCAGTGAATTAAGTGAATTCTCAACAGATCTTTAAGAGGACTGTATATAAAAAGAGCCTTTTATAGCGGTTGAATTTCTCAAAAGTAAAGATGTGCAGACGATCACCATTCTGCCAAAACCTGTATCTAAAAAACAGTGGAGCAATGCAAAAATAATGTTCCTCAACAAAATTTGGGAAGACTTTGAATTCCCCATAAACTGCAGTTCAAAATATCTAGAGTTCAAGAATATGTAGAAATCTCTGAGCTCTAAGGCTGAAAGTACTGGATGCCACCCCCCAGGTGGTACTTCATTAAAAACAGGTCTGATTTTGTTCTCAGAAACATTTCCACAAATCATTCACCATGCCTTCCACAAATGCAGCTTAAAGCTCTATCACACAAAGAAAAAGCCATATGTGAACGCCAGCCTGAAACACTGCTGCCCAGCTTGTTATCAGCACACGGTTCAAAAGCTTGCCTCTCTGATGGTATGGGGGTGCATTAGTGCCTCTGGCATTGGAAGCTTACACATCTGAAAAGGCACTATGAATGCAGAAAAGTACAATTAGGTTTTAGAACAACGTATGCTCCCAGCAGCAGAAAATCCAGCAATGAAGACCAAGGCTGTTGAACAGCTAGAATCCTACATCAGACAAGAATGAAACAACCCCCACCCACACACCTCCAGCATCTGGTCTCCTCAGTTCCTCCATGAGTAGAGACTGATGTTGTTAAAAGAAGAAGGGATGCTTAACAGTGATTAACAATCCCGTCCCGACTTTTTCAAGATATGTTGCTGTCATAAAATTCAAATACTTCTTTCTAATGAAAGAGTAAAATTTCTTAGTTTCAACAATTGATACTACGTATATTCCACTGTGAATAAAATGTGGGGTTATGAGTTTTGCAAATTGCTGCATACTGTCTTTACTGCCTCGGTCTTTCTCATAATTTTAACAAGTTTAACAAACTCTGTGCAGTTGCTATTGATAAATGATGTGGGTCACTTTGCCATGATGCCAGATAAGTAAGACTGAAAAGCTTGACTGATGAGTAATCTAGTGTTTAATTATCAGGGCAGACTTATATGTGTCCCAGTTCTCAGATGGATTGTCTTGCATTAGCTCAGTGTAGTTCCTGCTTAATCTGTCTCCTGCCCTGCCTCTGCTTTGGACCTGATGTCACCCTTGCGATGCTTCAAAGAAACATGCATCTTTGCATCACCTCTGTTTTGCCTCAGTTCTAGCATACTACATGTGCCATCACTTGCCCTGTAGTAAACTGAAACAAATGCACTTTGTCACACTCTCCAGAGAGCTCCAGCATCAGCCTTCGCCCAGCTGTAAACATAGAAGATGTCGATCATGAAAAAGGGAGAGCGGGAGGCGAGGAAAAGAGTGACATTTCTCTAAGTCTCACCCCTCAGGACCTCAAACTTACAACCCTCACTGTCCCCGTGACCCCATCAGGCAGCCGTCAGAGGTGAGTAACGGATATTTTAACAACAAATGACTAAAATTAAACATTTTAGTCTTTAAAATAAAGAGCAAAAAGTTGGTTAAAAAAAATTGTGCAGGCAGTTTTAAAAACAGTTTTATGGGAGGCACGATGGGAAAAATGCCCATGCTGTTGAAACTATCTGTCAAATTAAATTAATTTAGAGTAGTTTATGTGGATCGGCACTAAAATAATGATTTTTTCTTTCCACATGCTTTGCAGTAAAGGAGATAAAGAGTAAGAGAACTACATGAGTGGTCTGTGTTTTCCAAGCTTCCATGGGACTGTGTGCTTTTCATTCAACTGCGTCCTGTTCAGTCAAATGACATAGATTTTCATTAACAAGTGTTTATTCACAATACGATTCATAACAGAGAGAAAAAGTAGGATGCCTTTCTTCAAGTGAAGCTTTTTGATCCAATAGGAGAAAAATCTGTCTGAACAAGTTTTATGGGAAATGTTTTGATTTGTTTTAAATAGGGATGCACGATATTATCGGCATGGTATCGGTATCGGCCGATA